ACCATAAATTAAAAACAAGCTTACAAATATTAAAAACTCATTTTACAATTTGTATAAGGCTTTTTCATTCCTTAAATGGATGTTCAAACAGCAGTAATTTACAAAAAAACCATTTTTCATAGTTTTTACATTAATAAGGAAATACTTCGTCATTCATTTAAGGGGTATCTCCAATGAAGTTCAAACTGGTAAGTTTTTAAACCCGAATAAAAAAACAGTTTTTAAGCGTTTGCAGGCTTATGTAATTAACAAAAAGTTTTGTTTGCTTAAAGATCCAAAAGTGGTTTGAAGAAGTTAAGACCGCAAATTGCCCTTCCTTAGTCTAATTATTAATTTAGTTGCAAAGCTGACATACAAGTTCGTTGAAGTTTCACCACACAAAGAAAAACAAAACGATACACATCCTTTCGCGGCGGCGCGCCGCACAGTGTTGAACTAAATTAGCACGACAAAATTATAATCCTTTTTTGGGATTTAAACGTTTTTAAATTCATTCCACATAATCACCCTGCAAACAGTCGTCATTATATATTTGATATTTTTTGGAATAAGTGTTTCTCAAGCTTTGAACATGTATAATTGTAATCTCTCAGATTACAGAATATTACATTGTGCGTCAGATCACAAAATTGTTACGTAACCAAATTAGCTTTGCTTAAGAACCATGTTTGTTCAAATACAAAATAAATTGACTAAATTAATCTTAATTAAAATCTTGAAAGGTATCCCGCAACTTTGAATAAAGCAAGAATTTAGAAGATATACACATAAGCATTATCCATATTAAACCTATTTAAAATGATAAAATATTTTTGTCAGGATAAAAGCAATAAGCAAAGGTCTTTGTGTGTGCTACATTAGTGATATTGTTCAGTGGAATTGTTCACATATAAGCATATGAGGATTGTGTTTTGCCAATCCAATATTAAATCACGACCTGATCTTGTAAATTGGGAACAATAAATATTAAGTTATTTATAATAATAATAATAATATTAATCATAATAATTAGAGATGAGATTTTAGGTTGCCAAATTTATAAAAATAGGTACCTAAATAGGTAAAGTTTTTTCTTGTTCTAGGTGTGAAAATTCTTAAATTAGATACTGGAAAGCAACTTTTAGATGGTAAAATGTAATTAATTATTGTATAAAATTCTATTAAACAAGATTTTTATGATTTCAAAAAAACTGACGAATATATCTTGTAAAAATATTATAATACCATTATAAATTTTATAATTTTTTAACGCGGCGGCATATTCAAAATACTTTTGTTAATAAGTATACAATTGCTGAAAATAAATTTATTATGATAGAAATGTTAAAAAAAATACTTTTTCATAAAAAAAGCTATGTGTAAATACATGACATTTTTAAATAAAACATGATAACATGAGATTTATTGGGAAAACTTGATATCTCATGCAAAAGCATGAGACCTGGCAACACTGCACAGGAATGTCACATTCGCGTCGCTGTTCGCAATGTCCAGTACCAACTAGGGTTTTAATGTGTCGGAAAAAAACCCGGAAAAATTGGGAGTAAACCCTATTTTTTTCGTTTTTTTTCCAGGCGTTGGGAAATTGTCTTTTTTGGGAAAAAATAAAATATTTTTTGGATAATACACATTTAAAATAAAGCAACAACTTAAAAGAAATAACCTTACAGAAAAAAAAATAAAACTAAACATTGCATTGAATTAAATTAAATTGATTTAAAAAAAATAAACGTAAACGTAAAATATACAGTTTCTTGGGTATTTTTTGCAAAAAAGAGTCCATTAAAAATACAAAACAATGTGTGATTTATAAAATTAAATTACAAAATTATAATTTTATAAATCGAAGTGTCAAATAAAACGAAAGTTTATCAGCATCGAATATGTTTTTTTGCGACCCGGTAGAATATTTCTACTGGATTAAAATAAGAGGAATATTTATTATAATCATAATAATAGGATTATATTCAGGGTCGAAAATTCACTTTTTTCTCGATATCAGTGTACGGATAGTATCCGTAAAAATTTTCAGAAAAATTGACTTTTGCAAATTTTCTTATTACCCTTGGAATAAAATGAAAAATATGCAAAAGTCAACTTTTCTGAAAAATTAACAATTTTTCCGTTTTTTTTTTTTTTGAAAAAAACGGTTTTTTATCGCCGCTCCGGATTAAGTTTTTCGGAAATTTTAAAACCGTAGTACCAACCTACATTACCAATCCTGTACAAAATAAATAACTACATTGTGCATAAGAATTATGTCATCCGAATACGACAACCCCATTATAACAAAAAAAAATCTGTTAAAAATAAAAAATTGTGTTAAAAATAAGAATTTAGATGAAATAGGTTAAATTACACTAGTTTAGGTAGTAAAATTAAAAATTAGGTCCATTTCTCTTAAAAATGAAAATTTAGGTAAAATAGGTAAAATAAAATTAGGCTCAAATGAAATCATTTTCTTCAGTTTTTATTCCATTACACCTAAAATTATGATTAGCGTAGGCAAATAGGTAATAACACTAAACTCACATCTCTAATAATAATAATAATAATAAATATTTGCTCTGTTGTTGATCTGATGCGACATCCAAACATTAAATGTACGTTTCGAGAATATATTCTCTTTGTGTTTAATTAAATTAATCATTAACCATTTCAACGTAAAAAAGACGTTTTATTTATAAAATACAATAAGCCTTTGTAAATTCATATAAATTATTTGATTAAATTGGTGAATTATTCATGTTTGTGTTTATTTTCTTTATGCAACCATACAATTATAAATCGTATTTGATTATTATTATTATTAAAAAAGTTTTGCCCATTAAATCCTAAATCAATAAAGAAAATCCTTTGTTTATATTGAACATTGCATGATACTTGATACATACTAAAATTTATTTTATAAAATATCAAATTTATGTATGTTCTTGTTTTGTTTTCCGCTTGAATATAATGTCAGTATCTTTTTCCATTTTTATTTAAATACACAGTAAAAAAATCAACTCTAAGCAACACTAATTAGAGTTCACACAGGTCCACACTAAATAGTGTTGTTTTATAACACTACAATTGAGGGGCATCCGTGCAAAACCGGCTAAATCCATTTTATTCAGTTTTTATTTTTTTTATTTCGCATCTTTGGGTTCATTTCTATCGACAACCAAGATAATTCTGTTTAAATCCGACTATAAAATCACATTTAAAAGGTAGCGTTAGAAGCAAAACCGGCCAAATCCACGTTTTTATTGCAAACCCGGCTATATCCAATGATGATGAGCATGTGGCTTGGATGTGTCGATACTACTACTAAAATTTGTTCTGTTTTTTCTTTTTTGCACTAAATTTATTTTGTTAATATTTTTGAATAATAAAGTTTTTTTTCACATTTTATTCGGTTTTTGAGCAAAACCGGCTATATACAAAACATTGTTTGTAATTTTGGCCTTAATATAAAGTTTTTGAAAACGAAAGTATGTCTTATAAACCAAGTACCACAAAGCTAACAAAACTTAAGTTTGCTTTTTTTATCTGTAAAGACCAGGAAGCCAAGAGTTTTTGCCATTTTCCCAACATTTTATTAAAGTGGATATAGCCGGTTTTGCACGGATGCTCCTCAATTAGAGTTAATTTGTAGTGTAATTTTCCCCAAGTAAGCAAGTATGATTTAACACTGAGGATAAAGTAACTTTACACTGTATTAAAAAGTGTTAATTTACCTAAAATCGTGTACTTCTACAATTCCTGGGTAAAATCCCACTTTAGTTCAGTGTAAATTAACACTATAGTAAAGTAGTACTACTTTGGAAAATTCTAATTTTAGAAAGGTACTTTTACTCTTTGCAAACTTCTAGTGTAAATTAACACTATTATTTGAGTAAAACCTATTGGTGGTAGTGAATAAAACGAAAAGGTAAATAAAGAGAAACATTTATTTGGAACAAAAATCTATAACAATTATCAAAATCGGTGCCTTTTAAAATATAATTTTATATTTGAGTCGTATGGATGGCTTAAACAAAATGGTTCCTAAAAACGTAAAAGTTTTAGATCAATGCAATGTTTTACTGGCTGTTAACTTGTAAGTAATGCATTATCTTGAGAATTCATCAGTAATCCATTTTTCTGTTATAAAAACTTGGTGATCCCATTGGTATAGAGGCGTCAGGCGGCTGTATGTCGGGGATTTACCACACGTGTAAAAATTTTCCATAATATTAATAAAAATGTAGGTGTAGGTTAATATAACAACCATTACGCTTGAAAATAAAAAGTAAATCAAGTGTGTATGTATTTATATTATTAATGTTACAAGTACCCGACCTACTGCCGTAAATTATGGACATCCTTTTAACATATTGTTATGTATTATTATAATACTTACCAAAAAATAAGAATGTCCCCTTCGTAATTAAAATCTAACTGAACAAAAATGCCACACTTCCACAACGCGGTATCTCCGGATATGCACTGCGTAGGTAGATAGGTACCAACCAAACATTTTAAAACGCATTTCGGTTATTACGAGTTTTTTCAGTCTATTTTGCCACTATTGGTGTAATTTAATTTTAATTGTGATACAATGTGCACTAGTAATGTAAAGAAAAAAGAGCTCTTGGTAACATCAAAACAGACAAAGAAATTGGCATGCACTGTAGTGTACATTTTGTCACTATTTAACATATTAAGGGGTAATAAACACTCGCATTAAGTTTTTCTACCCTTTTGATTTATTTTAATAATAAATAGTGTGAATATATCAATGAATAATGTTCATATTCTTTAAATGTGTTTAATAAAGTTAAGCACTAAATGCTACCCAGTGTATTTTACACTTACAAATCAACTCTAATATTTTTACCCCTACACTAAAAAATTTACACTGGCAAAATTTTTTACTGTGTACATGAACCTACGTTAATGGGGCAAACATTTGTAATAAAACAAACACAAACACGATTTAAAGAGTTTTTATAAAGATATATTCTTTGTTACAGTTGTGTTGCTAGCAACGCTCACGGTAAGGGACGCGGCCAACTCATCCTCACGGGAATCGCAGGACTCGCCGTATTCGACTCCCCACCAATTGGAACCGAAAAAGATTTCTACAACATCTCCTGGTCAGTAAACAGTCACGCCGCAATAATCGAATACCGTTTATACTACCGCAAACCCAAACACCATCACGGACACCACGAGGATAGAAACTCCACCAAAATGAGCTTCAGAACAGACTGGCAAAGCTTCGTTATTCCCGGCGCAGGTATTTCAGCAAACCAGTTCTATACTCCGGCACCGTTCCCGGGTGTAACCAGGCAAAAAATGTGGCACACCATTACCGGATTGCAACCAGCTACAAGTTATGAAGCTAGAGTACAAGCCAAGAATGTCCATGGATGGAACAAATTGTCGCCCATTTTCCATTTCACCACTAAGAGCAATGGTGAGTCTAACTAATTTAGTTTATTTTTTATTCTAAAGCTTGTTCAAGGGTTTAAATCTCTTCTGCTAGCAATCTTACAAATTCGATTATAATCATTAACAACGTGATTTTAACATATTCTTTCAATTTATTTTTGCATAGGACAATTTTTGGAAAATAATCACTAGGTGACGTCATTAACATAGCTGCTTACTATCTTTGTTTTCCTGGTTACTAAGATATTGATAAAGTAGTCTACCTGTAAAGTTTCCTAATAATTAAAAAATGTTACCGCTTATCGATAAATAAATTAATTTTGCTAAAAAGTCGGTATTACCTGCCGGTAAAACTTTCCAGACGAAGGACAAAAAGTTTTAATCCTCTCGAACAAGGGAATCCATACACATCTAGTCAGTTTCGTACACATTTATATTTAAAATTTCTCTAATGCGAGCTGCATGTAGTCAACCTAAAAAATAATTTTAAAAATTCACCATTTAGATAGAAGCAAAAGGTCGATGAATAAATAAATTCAATTAAATCGTGCTTAAATTATTAGAAATTTGTTAAACATGTTAAAAAGAAACAGATTTTTGCTATAAAATTCCATTTAAATTAAATTAAATCCATGGAAAGAATGCTTCGGATGTTAAGTTTATAAAGGAATTGTTTAGGCATACAAAATAATAAATAGGCTGAAAAAAATCTTGTGTAATTAAAATTCTCTTTATAATTCTCTTTATAATACGAGTATTAGGTATGTATATGCCTAATTTTGTTATAAAAATAACCAAGACGTTTTATGAAGTTTATGAAAAATTTGGCAATGTCTCTTGTCAAACCCTCAGGCTCAGAAATCCCAGGATAAATAAAGAAGTAAAAATACTCATCAGTCGAATACTGGATACGCCTATTCCTGATCCTGATAAGGAAATTGTCCTGGAAAATAGAAAGTACTGCTTCCTCTGTCTATCCAGGTTGCACAGAAATACTTATGCACTGACTGCCAGAAGACAAATCTTGGATGTTCTAGAAAAATCTGTGCAACCTGCGTCCAAAAAAAGGGGGATTAAGAACCACCTGCACGATTTTTGTTCTTAGAATATATTTTTTTGCTTTTTACGTTTTAATTTGTTTTCCCCTTTATTATAATCATTTAATTTTCTCAGTTTCTTTAAGAAACTTTTTTGATCCATTACATTTGATACATTCATAGCCCGGTTGGGCTAATTCTAGATTCCATAGGCCATATTAGTATCTGTGATACAATTGCTATATATAAGCTCAGGCAGTCCTTTGTTTTGAGTGTGTTCCACTACACCAAGTTGCCCGACACTGATGAGACCCAATATAGGTCGAAACAGCTGTCTGTCGGTATTTGAAGTTGGTGGAACGCATTCAAAACAAAAAACTTTGGCGAGGTGTAAGTTTCTTTATTATAATGTTTACAAAGTTATATACATAGTTTTTTTTGTGCCAAGGTTTTTCTACAGTAATTTGCAAGCAATTATTTTGTACAACATTACGTTTTTTTATTAAAATTGGTGATATTTACTTCCAAAAACATCAATTTTATTGGTGCATCACCTAAATGGCAATTATTTAAATTTCCATACCCTATTTATCCTTATTTATTAACAGTCTAACAGACTCCACATAATAATCCACATCAGTGCACTGCAGTGGTTACAGGTTAAGGTACAAATATTATAACCTTAAATTTTCAGAAAGCGTTTTGGTAAATTTTAACAACACATCATTAAAAGTTTTTGTAAAGAAAAAGAAATATTATGTACTTTTTAAATTTGTCTTACTTAGTTTTAAATAGTAGGCTGGGTCAAAGAAAAATGTGGCCATCTGTGAATTATAAAAATCTTTTTAGTAAATTTGTTACGTTAATATTTATTAATAACTTTCCTAAACATCTGTTGTTAAATTATAAAAAAGAGTGATAAACTGTTATTAAATAAAGTGTGATAAATCATAATCTAGAGCACCTTTTATTTTTGTTTTCAGACATGGACAACATGATAGAACCATCTGCCCAGCCTGCTGTGTACGGTGTCAGCCAACAGGGAATGTCCCCCTTCAGCAGTGGCGTGCGCTCTTACATCTCCTCATTTTTTCTTTTAATACTCGTACCAGTGTTTTTTGCCTTTTTTTAATTTTGTTCCCCTGAATTTAAATTTAAACAGAGTTTTAAGTGTTAAACCAAAGTGTATTTATTTTAAATTTTTTGTGATACCAAATAGGAAAGTGAAAGCGACAATTGACGTAAATAGTGAAAAGTGGACAGTGTCCACTGGACACTTTTAATTTGCATAAATAAAAAAGTGTTAAATATATTATGTGTGTACGTAGCTCATAAATTTTCACGTTAGTATCACTAGGCGCAAAATTTTTAATAGTTTCGGCGGAAATTCCAAAAACACAAATTTATTTTTTAGTTTATATTTTTAAGTTTTAAAGTTGTGATGCAAGACTGCCAAATAATGTAAAGTAACACAACTTTTATTAAAAATTCGTCCCATCAAAACTAATTATTAGTCACAATACATTTATCTGATACATGGAGTTCTAAAAAATGTATAACAAACTTGGCAGATGATAACTAAGTTAATTCTATTTTTGTTCTAAAACGAAAGCCTGCACCGGCTGGATTATACAAAAATAGTAGATACCTAGCCTTATTTCTAATGAAAGTGAAATAGGCATAAATAACCTCAATTTCACAGAAAGTGTCAAAAGAATTATCAAAATAACACAAACAATAATTATTATCAAATCAACCGCCATTTTTATTTAGCCTTCTTTTGATTAAAATAATAAAATATATATTTTTTAAATACTTGTAGCTTCTAAACAAAAACGAATCGGGCCCATGTTCACTTAAGAAAAAGTGCCTAGAATTAACGCAGCTATCATCTTACAAAGTTTGTCATAGAGCTTGTAGAGTACCTTTTATTATTTAATTTGTATTAAGACTATGGCGAAATTGAACGGTTATGTTATAGGTAATGTTTAATCAAAGTTACATAACATATGGTTGTTTTACTTTTTAGTAACAACACTTCTTTTAAAACTTTTTTTTTTAATTTTATTAAATACAGACAACCTTGTTCAATCAATGATGATGACTTTTTAATATATTTTGTTTTAACAAACAATTTTGTTGCCGTTTTATTAACAAACTATATGTTACACACAAAAATTAATTAAAATGCTTTACCATTATTGGGGCACATTTAATTGATGTTAATAAAATGAGTCTTTTTAAATTTTTACTTATGTGGAATAATGGACCTAATAATAGACAGATACATTGGCGTAAGTAGTTTACTAATATTTTTGAACTATTTTGTAAATATAATTCACGTTCACCTTTTATAAATATTTAATGTTGTTCACTTTATAAAAATATAAAAACACTTTAAGAAATATTATATTATTTGTGGATATCTCATTATAAATGTATTATCATATTATTCGTAAGCCACACAACATTCCTTGAAAATTTTTACGGTTTGCGATCGAATTTTCCTCCTATTATGTAAATTTACAAAATATATTGCGGTTTCGACGATTTTTAAACGTGTCAGTATTGTAAAGGTTAAGTATGTTTAGACCTTATACTTCCTTATTCCCCAAAAGGGTGAATAAAATTTGAATAATAAGAAGCATTGATTTTATAAGGACCTGGTAGGTTTAAATCGCATTAAGGTTATTCATTGGTCTAATGTTAAGGAATTGATATAAATCATAAGGTATTTTATATGAATGGGTAATTTAAAAAAAAAAGTTTTAAATACCTTAATTAAAATATTAAATAATTAAATCGCCGTACAAAGATCGGTGTGTTAATTTAACTTTAAGCAGCGATAACAGCGGTATTTTGTTAAATACCCTTTTAGTTGGCAAAAAATACTTTAGGCTGGTCAGCTAAATAGTTGACAAGAATTTTACATTAACACCCTGAATGTGCAATTATAAAAGTATACCCTTTAATATAAAATACCTCGTGTAGGGATTAAAAAAGTCTAAGAGCTGACAAAACTTTTTTTTTTAATTTTTATGTTGACAGTATTACCAAAGAGTGTGTTTTTGGTTGTAAACAACCCATCTTGTAAATTGTTATTTATACTTTTGTCACTGCTTTTTTGCTTGCACATAAGTACTATACGTAAATGTCATGTATATAAAGACTGAACTATTTTTATAAGAGTGCAATAAAGGTATTAGCTCTAAATGTTTAATTATAAACTGGAAGCACCGAAATCAGAAAATCCATGTTTGTAAAATCGAGATTTTGTCTGGTCGGTTTCTGGTTTCAGATGCATTTAAAAACCTTTTATGTGATGTCAGATATAATGTAAATAAAGCTTGTATAGTGTATCAATTTGGTTTTATTTAAAAACACTGTTTACCTTTTGAAACAAAAAATGTGCAAATATTGGTATGGAGCCGGCTGGGTTATTATTACTTAAAAGGTAGGATAAAGGGGTGATAAACGACATGACGAAAGGTTGAGCAGGTAAGACGACCTTAAAAATTAAATGATAATAATGCAACAAATCTCATTAGCGATGCTTAGCTACTGTGTCGCGCGTTGGAGGGAGGCGAGGCCACACCCAATAAGTTTCCCTATATTCGGTTTTACTCTGATTTTATTATTTAGGTTTAATATTGTAGATACATTTTAATTAATATTCAGATATAAATAAAACCATCATTGGTACAATTACTTAAATAATAATTAATTAATATAATTAAATAATCAAAAACGGTTCTATATGATCATCCTACACTATTTCCCGGTCAAGATATTTATATTTCATAGATATTGCGCGGTGACGTCTTTTTATCGAATCCTCTTGCGATATTTTAGCAAACTTCTTCCTCCCAATATTTTTTGCATGGTCCAATTTAAAAATGACATTTCTTTGAGCCATATTGTTAATAACTTTTGCCCAAATGTTTGTAGGTATGTAAATATATTTATATAATTATAAGGCACCTTTTAAGATTACTACTTTGTTACTCTACTTTTTATTAATAACGTAACGTAACGTAACACGTGTTTGACAATGCAGTGGCGCGTATTCAATAGGTATTTACTTTTAAAAAATTGTTAAAAACATTTTTGGCCATTTTTTAATTTTTTTGTTTAGAAAGTTTACCTAAATTTCATCGTATCGCAAAATTATTGATAAACTAGTTTAAAAAATATATTGAATTAAAATTTTTTTGCGTTGTATTTATTTTCAGCGATTTTTTATATCCACAAACCAATTAAAAAGTTAATATTGTTTTTAAAAGTAATGTAGGGCAGTGATTTTTTTTAGGATATAAAACTTAAATATCTAATCCATGTAACCATAAAAAAACAACTTTATTAAAAATTTTAATTGTATATTTCCAAGATACAAAAAATATAAAAAAGTGAAAAATAATGTTTATAAAAATAGTCCTGACAATTTTGCTACGAAACTATCAATAGTTTTTTCAAAATTATTTTTTTAATTAAAAGTGAGAAATATCTTTGTTTAAAAAAACGCTGTTAAAATTAAAATAAAAAAAATATTTTAAGGGAATATTAAAATTTTAATTATGTATATTAAAATGGGGGGTCCACTTGACATGATCTGACTCAATTGGTAAGACGTGTTTTGAGGTTAGTTTTAAGTTGAAACAAAAATAGAAAAAGGAAAAAAATTCACAGGATTTTCGATTAAAAAATACTGTATTCATGTAAAAAAATAAATTTATTTATTATAAATCTAGACATGATTATTTTCTTCTACATTATTAAGTGGATATCTTCTTAGTTAATTAAAAGAAATAGTAACATTATATTTTAACAGTAATGTATAACAATGGATACAGTCTGTAGTCCGTGAAAATTAATTAAACTTTCTATATTATGATGGACCCAATTAAAGTTTCGATGGTCTCAATTAGATATTAACTGCTACCGAACTGTTTGTTCTTTGAACCCTTGAAAATGAGATTTAGTTAGACATTGTTTTGCCTTGTGCCAAAACAGTCGGCCTACCTAATTTTAAATGGTTAATGATTTGCTTCATTTCATTTCTAAGCCTGGCCCCTTGCGGTAAAGTTTAAATCTAGGGGAAGGGCAAAGAAAACATTCTTCAAAATTATAATTATTTTATTGATTTTGGCAAATATAAGACATGTATATATATTTTTTTAATTTGTTTGTTTAATAATGAAAAGCAAATAAACTCTTAAGTTTAAACCAAGCAAGAATTCCTAAATTTAAAAATTTAATTTTTTCCTTGTAGAAAAACTATTTGTTTTGTTTGTTGAATGTACCTGGTTTGTTTATTATTATTATTATTATTATTATTATTATTATTATTATTATTATTATTATTATTATTATTATTATTATTATTATTATTATTATTATTATTATTATTATTATTATTATTATTATTATTATTATTATTATTATTATTATAATTATTATTATTAATATTATTATTATTATTAATTTGTTATGGAATACCCCATTCACAATAATTAAAACTACAATTTAAAGTTTCATTAACAGACTCTAGAAAAAAAATTAAATTATGTCTCTTTTTAAGATGCTTTAACCTAATCATGCCCACGGTATGCGTTATCATAAGCTTTTGATTTAGTTGTGGGGTAAAAATTAAAGGTAAGTATCTTTTATAGATATAATAGAGGTTCTTCGTGGTTAATTTTATGCGTAGTTTGGGTTTATGGATGGATATTTACCAAAATATTTAAATTTGATTTTAGTATAAATGCATTTCAAAATCAAAAATAATACGTTGAGCAGTCGCATGAATTTTTATTTCAGAAACAGTATTATGACCCTTTTTACCCCAAAGATGCAGAAGAGCTTATAAACATTTTTAAGAGTTTGTCTGTAGATGACGAAGAAATGGATGTACTGTAAATTCAGAAGAAATTCAATTTGTTCTTGTTCAAAATGACGCAAATAGTGGACGATAGGACGATTATGCAGCTACGATTCATGATATTAGAAAGGGAGTGCTTAGGAAAACCATAGACATTTTCTGTATTACGGGAGAAAAAAATATTTTAGATTTGGATGCAATGACGCCCAATCCTGACAACCCTGATTGTGAAGGCGCCTCTGATAATTTTGATTTTGAAGATGATATCCTGTGCAAAAAGGTATCGGCACGATATCTACACAAATAAAATCAAAAGGTTTTTTCTTGAAAAGAAACGTATCTAAAAAGGCGATACCCAATATTAAAAAATGTAAATCACCCACATTCTTCCAGCAGATAATAGGCAACGATCTTACCGGTTGATATTTTAAAAATAATTTTTGATGAACACTTCAAACAATTTTCTTGCGATGAAACAAGGAATAATGGTTTACCCAACTTTAACGTAACTGTAACAAAAACGTTAATGTACCCTGGCTATGTGGATTTTATACAGGTACACTAATACAAAAATCGTTTTTTTTTTCAATTTATTCGCCCAATATTACTCGCAACACGCCTAGAGTATTTAGCTCAAAATCAGTTTTAAAGGAATTTAAACGAAATTCAAT